CCCAGGTGATTCTGAGACGGACTTGGTTTAGTTATCTCGTGCTGGCAACCCAAATGATGGGTTCTCATGGGCTGGGAGGGCAAACAGGACCAAACCTTGGTTAATCCTCCATGATTCTTTGGGAATCTTTGTTTCGTGAAGGGAAAGTTTGGTTTTCATTTATTTTCTTTCTTTTTTTTTTTTTAACAATCATTTTATTGGGGATAGTTTTCATTTTTACAATTGACAGACGTGGGCAGAGCAGACGTAGTGGTTAGCTCACAATACCCAGTGGGAGAGATTTCCTTCTACCGCTAGTTTACAGCAGCAGTCCTTTTCCTGAATTTGGCCACCAGGGGGCACTACAGACAAGAAGACAGTCTTTTGCGAAAGGCGTTTCGCGTCTAAATAAAGCTTGTCCCCTTTAGGACCCCGTAGCCAGGGGCCGCAACTACGCGACTCGTCTTTCTGCGGTCTCGCGAGCACGTGTAGGGCACTCCCACTCTGGTTCCGCCTTCCCTCCCCGCGCGCTCGTTCAGCTCCCTCCTGGTTGTGCGCAGTAGGTGGCGCTGTCTGTGGCGTCGCAGCGGCGCCGGCTGCCCGGGCGACGGTCTCCCGGCGGGCAGTGCGGCCCGGCTCTCAGGTGGCTGCGAGTGCCACGTCCTAAGTGCTACGCGGAGGAGCGGAGCGGGCGGTGCGCGGGGGGCGGGGAGCAGCGCGGATCCCGGCCACACGGTTCGGCCGCCGCCATGGGCTCCACGCAGAGCGTCGAGATCCCAGGCGGGGGTACGGAAGGCTACCACGTCCTGCGGGTAAGAGCTCCGACGGCGTCCCGGGCGGCGGGCTGGAGGTGGGGCCCTCCTGCGAGGTGACGGAGGCCCCGTGGGCCCCTGTGCCGGGCAGCCAGGCCCGACCCCCGCAAGGAGCGCCGACTGTGGGCGCTGCCATGGCCGAGGCTGGACGGGTCCGGAGGCCGCTCCCGTCCCGCCTCCCCAGAGCGGCTCTGGAGGACGGGCCGGAGCCTGAGGCGACTGCCGGTCACCCTGCCGGGGCGGCCCTAGGAGACAGGGGCAGCCTTGGCTCCTCTTCCTCCACACGGCCTTCTCTGCTCCCTAATTCGTAGCATCCAAAGTTAAAGGACTTGGGGGAAAACTCCCCAGAAGGGGTGAGAGTGAAGGCAGCATTTGAGCTTCCGAGAGAAGAAACCCTGAGTCCCTGGGACAGGTGGTGGGGGGCGCCGGGGTGCGGGGTGCGATGGCAGGTGTGGATTCAGCTCGGCGCCGTCCGGAAGGCCAGTTAGGAGAGAAAAATCGAAGTGGGTGTCATGGACTTGCATTACTAGGTCCTGTGCAGACGCCTCTCCAGTGTCCCTCCTGGCCTTTCCAACCCCCCGATTCAACATTGGCTGGAGGGCAGCACTTCCGTTCTGTTCTTGCCAGGATTGCTGGGGGTGGCGGTGGTGTGTGTGTTGTGGGGGAGAGGGGGAAGATAAAGGTTTAGCTCCACCGGGCACGGTACACGAGGGAATGGAGAGGAATGTGCCTCACACAGTCCTTCCAAATGGAGGACACCTGAAGGTACCAGGATGCCGAGAAGCGTCCTTTCTCAAAAGGCGCTTGTTCAAACCTCCACCTATGAACAGCCCTGGGTTGTGCGGCCCCACCCCCTTCCCCCATGGAACCGCGAGGTGAGAAAAGTATCATTGGTTGGTGATCGGGTGCTGTGACACTGACGTGTGGGTAGGCGAGTGACCACTGGTCACTCTCAGAGTGACCCCAATCAGGAGTCCATTAGTGTCACCGGTGAGAATGTTTTCCATGGAAGTCCGAGTGTGTTGTTTCCTGGTGCAGCCTTCGTTCTTCCCGGTCCTCTCTGTTTCCGGCAAGACAACAGTCCTGCACGCTTGTGATCGCGCTGTGATCGATCCCCTTTCTGATCGCCAGGATTGATGCTTGCTTGTCCTTGCACTCCACTGAAAAGTCCTCTTTTGAAGCTACCATCTCGGGGGAAAGCGTGATTTTTCCCACTAAGAATGAGTCTGGAAATAAGCCTTCGGACTTTCCTGTTCCCGTCACCGAGCACACCCCTGCAGGGTCAAACTGACAGGGAAGTGGAAGGAAAATTGTCGATCCCAGGTGGGAAGTGAAAGTGGCAGGGCCCTCTGTTCCCTGGCGTGCTGTTCTCAGGACTGGAGCTTGCTGCCTAGCATTGATTACCAGCGGTTGATGGTGGCCATGGATGCCTGTACTACTTACTTAGTAAGACTCATTCGTGTTGAAGATTTTCCATTAATATATAGGTATGTTTAAACTTGTTGAACTTTAAATATTGAAAACTCCATTTTGGTGTAAAAAGAGGTTTTTTTAAAGTTTATGTGCTTGAATGACAACTGCACATCAGAAGGATTCTCGTGTAATGACTTAAAATTTACTTCACTCTAACATAAAACAGTGTAAATGTATTTGTTTTCTTTGTAGGTGTGCCTCAATAAATGAGTATTCATACATATTTAGCGATGCAAATGTGATATGAACATGTAAACCTGATTTTTTTTTTTAAACACCTAGGCAACATTGGTTACCAATTGTATCTGGAGCATTAAAAAAAAAACAGATGAAGTCTTAGAGTTTCATTAGAAATCTTAGAGCTTTAAATAGCAGTGATTGTCTTGTTTAGTGCAACTTCTAAATTTTTCCAAGTTCCTAACTCATTTGCCCCAGTCAACAATTGGTTTTCTTTGTAATTGGATTGTTTTCAAACGGAAACATCCAATTGTGACATGTAAAAATGCCTGTCTTTCACCTGTTACTGCTTAAATGTACGCAGTATGCTCCGTAGCTGGATTATTGAACTGTAAACAAAAAAAAAAATGGCAGGAAAAACATGCAGTAAAATCACCCATGTACATTCACAACAAAAGTTTCAAAAGAAAAAAAAGGAGGGGGGACACCCATGTCCAATGAGCTCTAAAATTAGTTGATCAGAAGTCACTTTTCCTTAATATTTCCATGACCAATTCCTTGTTTTGTGATCATATTGCATACTCCACATCAGTAATGAGGAGTACTTAAGGTGGACAATGCATGTGGTCCAAGTGTTTCATGAATGTAAAGGCATGCAGTTTCTATCCCTTCCCCTCCTCTCTCGTTTCCTTTTTAACTAGTGGAACCGTGATACAGATTGTTAGACACCTTGCTCTTCGCACTTTCTGGCATGTCGTGGCAATCTTTCAGTAGCAGCGCATAGAGATCTGCCTCATTCTTCCAGGCAGCTGCAGCGTAGCCTGCTGTACCATAGTGTGGTGATGCAGCGCCTCCTCAGTTTTTCTTGTCAAGTCTTTTGGTTTGGTGTGTGTGTATGTGTGTGTTTCTATATGTATATTTCTGCAACATCAAACTCTTTGTTTTCACTTTTTTTGCATTTGCGAAATGTTTTCGCAAATCAGTGCGTTTTTATTTTGTCTACATGTTTTATCTTCATTTTGTTAGATCACTACATTGTTGCCAACAGTTGTACATTAGGGAAACATTGGATGAGTTCAGAACCAAGAACCTGCATTACTTGTAACCCCACTATCTAAAGGTAAATAATGTTGATGTATTTTCCCTACTTTTTCTTTCTTTTCCTCTGTGTAACATTGCCCCATATCTACGTTTCACAATGATTTTATATGATCTGACATAGTAAACTATGGTCTGTGTAATTTTTAAAATGAAAGTTATGCAATGGTAGCTGTACCCATATGTCTAACAGGTGAGGGATGGTTAAATTAGCCTGGATGTAACCGCAGGTCGGAATGCCATGCATTCGGTGAAAGTTGTGTTGCAAAGGTATCTGCAGGCCCCTGTCTATAAGTGGGCACACACTGAGGAAAATAAAATGGAAAGTTAATAACCCAGAGTATTACGAAGATCATTGATGGCTGATGATATTTTCATATTCCTTTTGAGCATATTCCTGGACTCTGCAGTAATCATGAAGTACAAGTATAAGGACTTAAAAGCTTTGTGGGAAAACTTCATTGTCTTTTAATTCCAACTTACCACAAACTTGTGAAGGCCCCTTCCTATAGTCATAAAAAATGAGGTTATAAACCATAAAAAGTAGATGATTTTTTAAACTTTATTTACAAATCTTGTATTTTCATGCAGTAGATGAGATTTCATGTTCTGCGTGAGTACAGCTCTCATTCCTGACCCTAGACCAAATGTCAGTCAGCGGAAGTGTCTAGCAGACATCTCTGTTTTGTTAGGAATTACTATAAGTTGCTTTTTGCAGTTAAATATCTTGATTACCAAAATTCTGACCAAGATTTTCCATTATATATCCAGTGAACCCAACAGAGCCATTTAAAAAATAACAAGTTTGAATGTGCCTTGTGGGTGCCTGTTATGGATTAAAATCTTCCAATTAATTTTGTCCTTTACATAATACTCTTTGAGGTGGGGGTGTCTGAGGACATTCTGGACCCAGTGTCATACCCATATAGGGCATGGACAATGTCACGTTCTCTATTCCTTGTAGTTTCCCTTGAGAAGAGTTAGGTGTTGGATATTGCAGGTCTGCTGAGCCATTTGTTGCATGTAGGTAGCATCAGGTGCTCTCCACTGAAGAGGAAAGGACAGCACTAAACTTATTTTTATAGAAATAGACTATCTAGTCTGTATCTACTACTGTATGGAATTTAGTGGTGTCACTAGTCTACATGAAATCCTATTATAGGATATCAATTTAGTACTTGTTTTGAGAAAGTAAATTCCCTATGTATGGTATTTACAATTTATTTTCTGCCTTATTCTTGTAATGCAAAAGTTGCTTCAAGTTTTCAAACATATATCCCTTTTGAAGAACATAAAATCTTTTTTTTTTTTAAACATAAAAATCTTACTACTACTTCCCTCTCACCCATTCGGAAAACATACATATATACTCGTGTATAAGCTGAATTTTTTCAGTACATTAAAAAAAAAATCATTTTATTAGGGGCTCATACAACTCATCACAATCTGTACATACGTCATCTGTCCAGCACTTTAGTACATATGTTGACTTCATCATTCTTATGACACCCACTTTCCACTTGAGCCCCTGGTTTCAGTACATTTTTAATGCCGTTTTTGTGGTAAAATTAGGTGCTTCGGCTAATATTCGGGTCAGCTTATACTCGAGTATATACGATATATAAGAAGAAGAAGAAAAGGGAAAAAAGTGGGCTGGTGGTGCAGTGGATCACGCAATTTGGCTCTTGACCCCAAGATCAGCTGTCCATACCCACCAGTGCTCTGCCAGAGAAAGATGAGGCTGTCTGCTCCTAGTACAAATGTATGGTCCGAGAAACCTGTGGAGCCGTTCTGCTCTGTCCTATAGGGTCACTATGAAAATTGAATGAGAGGCAGTGGGTTTAAAAAAGTAAAGGGGTTGGGTTGTCCGATATTTTCCAAATAGAAGATTAAGTCATTAGAAAAGCACCCCCTACAACATTGTAAAGCTGCCCCAGTGACATCTGCTAATGAGAGACTGGATGATGTGGCCAACCAGTAGACATCCTGTGAAAGTACTTGCAAACAAGGAATCAGAATGTTTCCATTGTATTAAGTCACAGAATTGGGCCGCTTACCACAAGATCAGTAGTTCGAAACCACCAGCCGCTCCATGGGAGAAAGATGAGGCTTTCTACTCCTGTAAAGAGTTAGGCTTAGAAACTCAAAGGGGACAGTTCTGCCCTGTCCTATAGGCTTACTTATGAGTCGGGATCAATTCAATGGCATTTAGTTTATTGCTTCTTTACAGACTGTCATATTTTAGGGATGAA